CTTCGAGGATTTTTCTCGATAACTTCTGCCGCCGTTTCACAGCGATGTAATAGCACCTAATTACATGTTTTTTTCCTTCGACAACTACCTGCTCATCTGTCGCCATTTTGCCAAATCCCCAGGCACAGAAATACGTGAAACCTGTTCTGTTCGTCCACTTATCACAGATTGCTTCAGTTGTTCAAGAGCCTGCTTTTATACAGATCCAGTATATAAAATTTTCAATGATACACCATAATGGGTGAATGGTTGATCGCTCTTAGTCTGACCTCTCGCTGTAAACTCGTCCAGTACGGATGGCCCTACCAGAGGTCAAAGGTTCAGCTGGCATATCTTTGAGGATCATTGAGGCACGCAAGCCCCACTGCTAAGTCAAGACTGCGATGCATTTATCAGTATATTATGTTTCTATCAAATGTTATGTATTTAGTTCTATGCAGACAGAAAAGACTACGCATCTGAAAGCTGTTAAAATTGATCCCACTTCTGATAAGGGCGCAACATACTTCATTCACTATTTTGACTTTTACGCGACAACTGGGGAAGATATCACATTGAGTCCGGAATCGGATGACTTGGTTTTTATTCCAGAGTTCGTGAAAATCACTGCTGAAGGTTGTTATGAACAATTTTTTTTAACGGCTCAGCTGACATTGACTTTTCAAACTTTAGACGATTGCTTGCAATTGGGAAAGCAGTTCGTCGGTAGAGTTGGCCTTTATCTGAATGGCAAGATTTTACCGCCTCTTCAAGATATTCAGATCACGGTTACCAATGACAAAAAGCCTGAAATGGTTCTTACGAAGACGACCGATGAAAAGGGCGAGTACAGGTGATTCAGTACCTAAATTTATTTGAGCGTCCCTACAAAGTGTGCATTTCAGTTTTGGGCCTTTTCACTCATTGGATGGTCTGCGAGTTGAGGCCGAAAAACCAGGGTATTTTTTTGAACCTATTCGTGGTCAGCTCGGTCATTTCAAAGTATCCAAGTTGTCTGAACTGTCAGTCGAGGTAAGCTTTTGCTTGCTTTTTAGATCTTTGGTTTTTCAAGCAAAGTCAGCTTCTTTCTGGTTGTATAGATATCTGATGATAACGAAAAACCACTGAGCAACGTACTGGTGTCAATTAGCGGTAGTTCAACGTTTAAAAGAAACAATCTAACGGACAAAGACGGAAAAATACATTTCTATGGAATGGTATAGAATTGAGCTGCTGATGAATGATGTTTTTCTACTGTTACTGCAGACCACCGATGAGTACTTTGTTCGTCCAGTGCTGAAAGAGTACAGTTTCGAGCCTCAGCACAAAATCGTGAAAATCGAAGAAGGGACATCGGTGGTTGTGAAGCTGCAAGGGAAAAGAGTAGCATTCAGGTATGTCTTATATCCTTAAATGCGTACATTTTCTTCCGCTACTTCCATTAGTTGTTCTGGATCCGTTCATTACCTGAATGGCGAACCGGCTGCAGGAGTTGTTCTCGAAGCGTTTTCAGAAGCATGTGTCCAGATACACGAAGACGACGTCACATCTGAGGTTGGAACTTACAAGATACGAGGGTTAAAACCTCAGTGCGAATACATTCTTCGCGTTAAGAAGTCGAATCTGATCGGTCGACCGCTGCCAATGCAGCATAAGCTTTGGGTAGGAAATCTGATAAAAGCAGATATGCCCAAAAATGTTAACCATACCTGAATTTTGCTTTTAGATAACCAATCACGACCGGGTAGACGTAAACTTTACGATCTTTCAAGAACCGCTGACGATGGACATTATGGGCCATGTTAGGACAGAAGAGATTGAGCACCTTTCGTCTCTAACGGTATGAATTATGTCGAACAGATAAAAATGAAAATATTCGTGCATAGGTGATAACTAACAAAGTACAATTCTTGTCAAGAGAATTAAGCAAAGTGCATTAGGCGCCTCATATAATGAAATACCATGTCACAAAGACCTGCTTAAATGGCCCCTTAGGCACTTAGGAGCAAGGTTAGGTGTAGTCACACTGCATATCAAAAGAACCATTGTTTTTTAGATACGCGCTTCTGATATGATTCTCTTGTTACGGTACGGTCTCAGTTACTGGTATGTTATGTAATCGGTAAAATTTGATGTTATAATAACATATCATTCTGTATTGGCATAACGCAGTTATATAACAAATACCATGATATATTCAAACACCCGAGTACGTTAAATGGCGCATGACTCATCCAGAACTACGTTCCATGTCGTATTGCATCGTTCCTTGCTCATAAAATGTAGGGGCAGTTTAAGCAGATCACGGTTCCATAGTATTTGAACACTTTTAATATTCTTATATTTTGGCGTACAACATAGTTTATGTGATGGTGTGTAATAAGGAGTACCGTTTACTTCAGTTTTTACTTAGATACAGATACCGAAGGAAGTAGAAGCTATATATTTCCTAGGTTTATGGTAATTCTTACAGTCTGATCCAACATTGTGTTTGTGATGATTTTCTCAGGCGACACGACCTACTCCACCAAAAACCGATCATTGTACAGAGGGAGAAGAAATGCAACGATGATACATTAACAGTTAAGAATAATGAATTAAGAGCAAAATATAGGTCCTGAAAAACAGCATAAATCGGTGAATGTTTTACTCCTCGAATGGAATCACAGGTAAATTCGTTGTTTTTATGTAATATTGTTTTTATTTTTTAGGCGCTGCTCTCAGAGAAGACCTCCAGCCTTGTACCTGTTCATCGAGTTCCTTTGCATCACTCGTCCTTCTTCTTTTTCCCCGCAGTGCCAATGGACAACAGAGTGCGTGCATATTTGTTACATTAATGTCATTCCTTTGCTTTAGACGTACGTTTGCCAGTTGGAGAGTTCACTGCCGAATTTTTATGTGAAAAACATAACTCCACCACAGGTCACGTTTACGGCGAACAAATCCGTTCAGTCCTTTATATTCGAGTTCCATGCTAAGGTACCTTCACCATAGCACTACTGTTGTAATGAGTGTGAAAGCATATTTTTAGAGAAACTTGATTGAGTCAGAGATCTCTACCGGAAGTTACGCGTACTTCTTTCTAAGTTTGATGATCGTCATCTTGTCGTACTATTCGGACAACGTAAGTTGACATTTTTAATTGAGGGATCCCTTTCAAAGTCAGAAACAAGAATATGCGAATGTCTATTCGTTGGTGTTTCCACAGTGAACTGGAAAACAAAATTTCTGTTTGCCAATTTTTTGCTGTATACCTTTAGTTTTTCTGATTCATGGTGTGAAACAAAAATTTGAAGGTTCGACACTTTAAATTTGATTCGAAGTGCTTTATTATAACCAAACTTGTAACCTTGTTAGAACATATAATCTAATCGGTTATATTCAAAAGGCTGAATTGATCTTTTCTTTAGTAATTCCCTGATGGGAAGAATATCGGTTAAGTAAGCTCCCTGAAGCTAATGAAGTGCCATCACCAGAGTATGTCTAAAAAAGGGGTTAATACTACTTCCACAGAGTGTAAAGAAGGACGTACTCAATGCGCTGCTCCAAAGAAGATGAAAGATCTGCGGTGTAGATGATTTCTGCACGGAAATTGCTCAAACTGATGAAGCTACTAAAAACGTTGCTAATTTATTTGCTCAGTTTTCTGCACGAAAAGCCGCTCGATACTATTTAGACAAAATACATTCAGCGACACCGGCAGTCATAAGATCTCTGCCATCATTGGCAGTCATAATTCCTTTCGATGTAGACCCAAAAGCCACTGGATACGTAAATGTCCCGGAAACAATACATACTATGGTTCAAGTCCGTATTGCGCATGCCAGGACCTGATATCATCTCTTCAAATGCTGGGACAAAGTAAACTCCGTATGCGATTGTGGCCACTCTGACTAGACAGCTGATTATATTCTCACGGAAATTTGTGAAGGAAATCAAAGTGCTGCTCGAGGTTGGCATCATAATTTGGCTTTAGAACTTGGTCTGGCATATGTATTTGCTATTTGCCGTGCGTAAGAATAAAAAGAATATCCTCGCCAAGGCGAAAATTATTACCTTTTCCTCAAGTTGACCTAAAAGATTACGCAGCCGACTTTAGCATTTCAAGATAAAAAACGGGAGAATGAAAAACAAGGGACACAAGCGATGTTGACTAGCTATACAAATTGCTCAAACGTGCGACGGCGGCGTCGGCTGAGCTAATGGCTATGTTAAACTAAGGGCAGTAGACTAAGTGGTGACCAAGTAAATGAGCATGTCACGGAAAGTGGTTAGTATCTAGTAAGAAAAGGCTCGATAACAAAATCACGTACGTGCAGGAGATCGTAGTTCGTTTGCGAGAAAATGTAGCCATTTTATAGCATGCTATAATGAACTGTCATCTTATCTCGTATGAGTGAATCTGGAACGATACCTCACTCACATAATCGAAGAAATATTCCTTGTTTGTGCATTCAGCTGTATAAATATACAGAGTTCTATATAGAGTAAGGGCTTATAATAAGAGCAAGGAATATACCCAGCGTTCTTTTCGTTGTATATATCATGCAGTTACTCTTACTGTAACTGCTATGTAAGGGAAGGGAATCGAGATCCCTGTCATAATGTGTCCTTGGTCGCTTAGCACGCTTGAGTAAAATATTTTGAAAGCAAACACATCATAACAGTGCAGTATTTCTGAAATTAACGAATTATTTTGTCGCGTCTGAATGCTGATTTTATAGGTGATCCACGCATTACAAGTACAACTGGTAAATCAGGTGTTTCCATATTGGAACTACGGAACTGTTAGCGAAGTGTTAAATGGGAGAAGTGTCACTGCGAAAGAAGCATCTGTTGACACACCAGGGGGAAAGAAGAAAACCAAGATCCGAAAAATTTAGAAACTTAGCCTACCGGGTACGACGTCGAAGAGAAGACTGATCTTGTTTTGCCGTCTGGAAGAAAATACACTAGACAGTGACTATCGCCAGGTTTAATGGATCCACGGTCCGCTAACCGCAGAAATAAGTCCATTCCTGATTTTTTTAAAAGGATTTCAGTATAGTTGTTGTGTATAATGAAAATGACCATTTTCAGACGTTGGACAAATTTTGGACGTCTTACATTCAACATTGTTTTGTGTTTCATGTTGAGTATTTGAATTTCTAGTTGAAATGCACTTGTTTTCTCATTCATGGATACTTTTCACTTCGCTACAAGATCAAATATAATACCTAAACTAAGTCTGTTTCTTTACAGCGGGTAAAACATTAGTAAGGATATTAAAAAGTGATTTTGAAAATTGGAAATGGCTGATATACCTGTTAGAACAGTCTCGTATCCTTAATTAATAGACCGGAAGACTTTCTTCTGAATCAGCTTCAGTAGGTTCAACAGAGCTGGCAATTTGTTTTTACCCGCAGCCGTTTTAGCTTGGATGTTACTGTCTCCTGCATAAACCATAACTTCTGCACGAGGCTATACTGTGAGCCATTACCATTATGAGTAATATAATCAGAAATCTTACTATAAGGGGACTTTCTTTGCTGTACACGATATAAGGGAATACAGAACAAACGCCCTACGTTATGCTGCCGGCAACAGTGCTCTTCCACGGAATACTACTTTATCGAAGACGACGTTGCTCATCAGTCGCAAATCCAATAGTAACAAAGTCGGTTAATAGGGGCCTCATTTGTCAAGATTATCATTTAAAGTTCAGCAATAACTCATTTAGAAAGCTCTTTATCTCTGCGGACACAGAAGTTAGAAAAAAAACTTGAATCTAGTGTATTCATACCTTTTAATAAAATAACAAAACATAAAACGAAGAGAACTGTAAAACGAAAAATCATCACTAAAACAGCATAAGATTAAGTATCCTGTAGTTTTGGTAAACAGTTTTCGCCTAGTGCAGCAGTATAAGGGAATAGCTCATGATAAAGGTAGTTCGTTTCGTAGTGAAAGCATATATTGCACCCACCACGGTTAGAAAGAAAGGCCTTCTGTTTCGATGCTGATTTTCATGCAGTCGATTAGCGTTACTCGGTTGCTAAACAGAAATTGTAATCAAGCAAGTATATGCAACATATCACGCTATCAGCTAAACACAATATCATCTAAGTTTGATATGGATGTTCAAATGTTCGTTTACTATAAAATGAATTAATTAAAAGCAAAATCACATTTATATTAACTTAAATTTTTATGCAATTTAATGGCAACATGTGTATGTGCTAGTCACGTTTTTTCTCAACTTAAAATTCTTTAAAATCAGTAAAAAGTACAATTACATTTAAATATGAAATTGATCCTAAGAACTTCAAAAAGTGTCGGTGTACTGCCCAGTTAAAATCTGCCAGTGCTGATTAACAGTTTTAATCCTAGTTCTCTAAAAGGTCATTTAAGCAATGTGTTGCAATATATATATACACTTTAATACTACACAGAAACGCGTTTTCATTCATACTGAATTACCGCCATTCATTTCTTTCCTGTCAACGGGAAAGAAATGGGCCTAGTTCGACATCAACGGGACAGGCTTTATGGATGGACTTAAATGAGCGACAATGCCAAGTTTTGATATAATCGAATCATCTAGTCTACCGCTGTTTATACTATATAAAGTAGAACGTGTTATGTAGTACATAGCAAACTGCAACCACGCTACAAAAGTTCAGCAATCCGTTGGTATGGAATGAAACTAATTTGCTTTTCAGTCCAGAACGATAAAGAGTATTTCTCCTTAAGAATGGTAATGGTTATTACTCATTAGGACAC